TTTTGACCCTCAAGAGGCGGGTTAAAAATGGATTTGTTTACTGTTAGAAAGAATTTGACTGCCGGGTTTGCTAGTAGAATCTATACATGCCTGGATGTATGAGGCTACAATGTCACAGTGAAATTTTAAAAGCTAAATTTGGTTGAAGAAGGTTTATGCTCCTTAAATCGTATAATTTCTATGGCATTCTGTACTGTCAGTGTGTTACATGCAACTTATGCCACTGCCAGTGGCCACTGCCAGTGCATGTGGTGGTGATAGTACTGTGTAGTTTTTGCCTGCATTAATTAGTTTAATACAGGTGGCAGCTCTCTATTTCAGCCTGTATAGGCTTGCGTACGTAAATGGATGAGTGCTTACCTATTCTGTCTTGCAAATAGTTGTTGCTACTACGTACGATGGGAGCTTCCATCTTAAATCTTAAGACACTTAAACGTACGTGCCATCTCGTGGCAACTTTCATAACGATCCCAACGAACATTCCTTCGAGAAGGTTCGTGATACCATCCCTGTGCCTTCCACTGTTTCGGCGCGTATGTGAACACATTTGGGACTAACAGGGTTTACTAGAATCCCACCACTCCACCACAGAGTCACCGCAGTAGATGTGAGATAAGCGCTGTCGCTCCGCGGCACTTGTTTTTTGAGGGGTGTCTTTTTACAAATTCAGCATGGTACATGCTCGGGTGTGCTTGTGTGGAGATACTTTTTATGTTGAAAGTTTATTTTGCTTGGTACATATATTATAATGTATTGCCTACAGATTTAAATAACATGCAGTGATACAATTTGTAAAAAAAATATATATATATAAAAATGGGAAAGATCAATAAAAAAAAATGGGTCGGCCCCTTTTTGGTGGGTCGGTCGGGTGAGGGCAAACAAACAATATTTTTATTATGGCCTCAAGTTCTAGCATATGCAGCAACTCAGTTAGCTCATTATTTTCTGTCAAATATTGGAGGTTACCTGTGTGGTGATTGGATATGAAGGAAAGGACAAACAACGACATATTGATGTATATGTCTATACGTGTCTTCCTTCTATATTGAGAATGGCTTAGTGCATGTGTACCAGTGTCATCAGCTTGTCAATCTTCCCACGCAGCGGCTGCTGGTTTGCATGTAGTCTCACGTCTAGTAGTTCGCGTGTTTTAAATGTCGTTGGAGACAAACTAGCTGCATAGTGGCGTTCGTGCAGTGAGGCTGCGTTTCAGAGGAGCATTTTAACGCCATTTACGAGGAGTTATTAGTCGACAGAGAATACATCGGTCATACATACTTTGATCGTAAATACAATTTGTTGTTTATACACAATCATTTTATTATTGAAACGATCCGAATGCCCCTGGGTGGACCGATTCATGTAGTTGTGAATCTGGGGGAGGGATAGAGATCTGAGGGAGGAATAGGCTAGGAAGGACTATGTGCATTGTTCCCTTCGCGGTTAATAACCGCCGGTTGTTTTGTCATGTCAGTCGACTCAGAAGCTTTCTTATCACCACGAAACACTCGCGTGCAGCCCCGCGTGCTGCATGCGATATGCAGCCTCCGAACGAGCAAAATCAATATATGCTGCGATCGAGTTTGGTCGTGAGCGACTGCGGGTACAGAAGCGGGTGGGAAGCAGACCATGTGTGCTAGCTAGTAGTAGTACATCTCTCTTTCATTGAGTGTACATGTAGCTCGGCTAGAATCCGCTTTAGTTCTGTGAGCAGATGTCCACCGTGTGAGTGACTTTAGGGGAGCAGAGTCGCAGTTGGTATTGGGAGTGATATTGTGCAAGTTTTCTCTCTGATCATTTCTTATTCGACATGTGCTTAGACGTAAACGGTAAGCGCAGCTGAGGGAGTAGACGTCAAACAGGAGGGATATGATTGTATTCAAGGTACGGCAAATAGCTGGTGGGTATAGTGCCTGCCCATTGTGTGTAATTATGTAGGTATGTGCAGTAAGGGGGACAAGTAACATTAGGTAGATCGAGAGCTTACCAATCAGGTTTCTCAATTATATGAAGCAATCACTATTCAGCAAATGATAATTTTACTGACTTTTCCCACTGGTGTGTGTTACTTCACGGAAACCCAAAATCTGTCTTATTGACGCAGTTATGCATGTTCGCTTCTGGATGTATTCATGTGTTTAATACTGTCTCAGGGAGATGTAAAATATCTCTCTATGTACTTATAATATATACTCATAATATTACAGCACTATAAAGTTATCCAGCGAGTTACGTTGAATCATATTCAAGGTTTAGAATTATGTTCTGTGTTTCTTTTCTTTTACAATATATACTGTAACTTTCTCATTGTAATAATTTACTGTTTTTTCTGTGGCTTTTCAGGTTGAAGGGAAACTCTGCAAATATTTCACGTATGAAGGCTTGGTCAAAAGATTTTAGTGAGTGTAAACACATAGATACGACCATAATACGAATTATTAGAAATGTCTGCTGTATGCAAATTTAAGTTTTAACTCAGTTTATTCAGCAACATCAGGTTTTATTCATTTAGCATCATAGGGTAGGCGGGCATAATGAGCGGGTGCTGTTCGTTATCGATGGTTTACAGGCATGTTAGGCATTTCATTGATTTGTATGCCAATATCCTGTAATAGCAATTCAGACCTATGCAAAACAGTGCAAAAGGGGTAGAAATTGAATTCCACACATGGGAGTCTGGCCTTCCTCTCAAAAATGAGTCTGCAGTCGGCTCAGTGTCAGTGACAAAATAATTATCGGATTATCTTCTACCTATTCACACAGAATGTGAAATAATGCAGGCAGTGATATTCTTCCAGATGTATGCTGGACAATGTACTGCAGTGACATTCCAGAGTTATTCACAAAATTGTACATGTACTGACATGATCGGAAATGTCACTATTATAGTAAGATTTTAGAATTTAATTAAACGTAACCTGCATCCTGCAATGTCACAACTATGTTATGATTATACTATATATATAAATATATATATATATATAATTAATATATAAATATAATATATAATATATATGAATATTAATATATATATATGTATATATAATATAAATATATTATAATAATTATATATATATAAGTGTTAGTGTGCAGCGGCAGCCATGGCGGCCGGTAGCGTGTGTTGCACATAGAGGATTTGGACGGAATTTACAGGAAACTGTTGGCAATAGTAGGTGAAAGAGAGTATATAAACATGAAGGATTTGGTAGTAAATAGATTTCGTATTTATTTAGCATTATATGTTATTGAAACGCTGTGCGCGTTTCTTTGTCTCTTTGTCCAAGATGGACACACTGTGTGCGAGCATATATTAAAGTTTATTCAGGTTACCACACAAGTTTGGATTTCTTCTTCATCATTTCTACATCGAAACATGCTTCAGCGTTACAGTGTGGTCCACGAGGGGTTTTAACATATAAGGCCAACAGGTTTGAATTTTGAGCCGACAGGTTTGAAAATCGCCGACAGGTTTGGATTTCAGGCCGACAGGTTTGAAATATCAAAGCAAGGAGCAAAAATGCTCCAAAATACTAGGCAATCACTCCGGATTCTATACAGATATCCCTTAAACCTGCATATTGGAATCTCTTCCCAATGATTCCCATATGGGTACAGATTGTATGGAAGATTCCCATTCTCCAGACAACGGCCTCATATTGATCAGGTAGTTTCCAAGCAATCTCAGTTGCTTTGGCGTACAAAGCCTGATCAAAGACCAGGTTTATGCTCTTCAAGTGAAGTGCGTCCTTGATCTTTAAGGAGCGGTTTAAAACCTCGTGGACAGTTGCCAGATGAGTGGCAGGAGCGTTGATTGTGGGGAGGTAGCCAATGTTGTCTTTATGGACCTCAACCTCATTACGCACTGATATATTGAATCCTGTCCACCCACTAACCTTCTGGTTTACCTCGGCATGTAAGCGAACTAATACCCACAATAGGTTTTTTCTTCGCGCATTGTCTAGCGCTTCCTGGCAGCTGACCTCTACAAACCCATTTACCCATAATGCATTGCAAAGGCATATTTCTAGAATTACTTGAGTTTTATTGTT